GAGTGGGAGAGGCGAAGGGCACCGCGCGGGGGCAGGCCGTGAGGCCGTCCGTGCCTGGGGGGTGGAGGCATAATGAACGGGGGTTTTATATGATGGTACAGCATCATAGTGTGCTATGTAGTGCCGGTACTTTCATTCCATTCTTCATCATGTACTTCTGTATAAAACGTGCTTCATATGTTCTTACCTGGGATGCGCGCTACTTTACCCTCTTAGTTACGACTAGCTATCGCAGCACAATTTTCGAGACCGGGTACCCTATCATCACCGCCGTGCAGAAACCATATGCCCCCGCGCTGTTCTTCGTTTAGCCTTGGGATCACGCTGTTTTGTGTTTACTCCTTCCAATCTTTGGTACCGTTTTCTCCTTTTGACTGGCCTATTGATAGATTTTAACGATTTTGCTTGTACAAGGTTTTTTCCCCGACCCCCCCCCCCCCCCCCCCACACACACACACACACACACACACATACATACACAAAGAAAAGAAAAAACAGCCACAGAAATGTGGAATGAAAATGAGTGAGAGAAAGTGCATTAAACTCTTGCGTGCGTAAAAAGTCTCTGTGAGTCATCCAAGTGCCGCGAGTCGGAAACAGGCGCGCGATTACTTCGCGTTGAGGTGTGTCTTCCTTGCGGGCTCTTTTTTTGGTCGGTTTTTCTTGAGGTTGTTGTGGGTTGTTTTTTCTGTTTTGTTTTTTTATTCCCACTCACAATTCCAGACGCATCGGTCGGTTTATCTAAAGAGTGTCTGAAAAATGATGAAAAACTGAAAAACTGGATTCCCGCATTCCTGAACATTAATGTTCAAGAGATCCCGAATGTCTCTCTCTCTCTCTCTCTCTCTCTCTGTGTGTGTCTCTCTCTGTCTGTCTCACACGTTTGCATACGCACGCACATTCAACCGACATACGGGCACGCGTGTGCTGGAGAATGAGAGAGAGAGAGAGAGAGAGAGAGAGAGAGAGAGAGCTGCGCATCTTTGTGCCAGGACCCCCGTGTGACCGCGCATCCTCGTGCCCCTTCACCATGCCCCGTTGTTGGCCTGCATCTCGCGCGCATAGCCTGGAACGTAAACACCACACACACACACACACACACACACACACACACACACACACATACATAAAAAACCCGTACACACCACTTGCCCGCGGACTCACCTTTCAGAAGAATCCCATAAATAGTGTAGAGGGTGAAAATCAAATGACTCTTGAGATTCATCCTGTCTCCGCGGTGTGTCTCTTGCGTTGCGCGCGCGAACTTCTCCTCGTCTCTCTGTCTGTCTCTCTCTCTCCTCCTCGTCCCCGCTGGACCTCGATGCGGACCGGACGGCTTCACTCAGCTATCCAGGTGGACTTGGGACAGTGCGTCTTCTTTCTTTTTTTCTTTTTTTTTGTGGTGCGTTGCAGGGCAAAAAAAACGGGGTTTAGACGCCGACTGACTTGACGACCTCCCCTCCCCTCCCCTCCACCCGTCTCACTCTTCTAAAAAAAAGAAAAAGAGCAAGCAACGTGCCGGGATGCGCGAGCGGCAAAAGGTGTCGGGCTCAGTTTACAGAAAAATGGGGGTGGGGGGGGGGCAACAGCCGAGTAGAAGCCCCTCGAGCGAGAGCCGCCGTCCTTCCGGAGAATGAGTTGATGTGCCGCCGCCGCCGCGCTGCTCTCTGCCCCGCTGCTGGTTTCGCTGTGGCGCACGATCCACAGCGCAGGGGGACCCGCGAGTGGATTGTTTGAGTCCCGCCCACCACACGGCTTTTGAGGGACGTGAGCGGTAAACCAATCGCCGGGGCCCGGTGGCTTCCCTGAAGCATGGCGGGTTGCCGCTGGGGAGAGGGGGGGGGGGGGGGGCGGGGCGCGTGGGAAGGGGCCCTAGCTCCTGAGACACACTGCAAAAAAATGAAAATATCATGTTTTTTTAGACCAAATTAAAAAGTGAGTAAATTTTTAGTTTTTTATTAGGTGTGCAAATGTGTATATCTCATATATGTGCATTTTTCTATCTATTATTCTAGCAAATGTTACATTACATTACAGGTCATTTAGCTGGCGCTTTAGTCCAAAGCGACTTACACTGCATTTTTAACCCATGGTTTTTGCCCAGGGAGCAATTAGGGGTTGGGCGTCTTGCTCAGGGACACTTCAATATAGGAAATGGAGCAGCCAGGGTTCAAACTGCCAACCTTTGAGGTTCCCAGCGCGCCCTCGCTACTCCATGTGCCACCATTGCACCGTTCCCCTCTGGATAGTCAAAGTTCAAGTCAAATCTTCTTTCATTTATCATTGTTGTATGTTATTCATTTGCACAATGAATAATACACAACGTCTTCAACTAACACACCGACATATTCAGAAAACAAAAAACCTGCGGAGAGGTGGGAAGCTCAACAGGATTGTGCAAATGCATCTCCTACAAACTCGTCTTTTATCTGCATCAGCAACTGGAGAACAAGAACATGCTTCAGCCATTTGAGTGGGACTTGTGTGAAAATGGTGAGGGATCCATCGCTGGTCTCAAACGTGTGTCGTTCCAATCAGCCCCGCCACAACGTCAGACAAGGTGAAACCTTTTTTGCAGTGTACCAGACATTCTGAGCCCTTTATGAACCCTAAAGATGCCGATAGCCGGGGGAATTATCCACACGCCATTGCAATGTGGCGTTAAAAACAAGATAACCAGTTAACGGATGGAGACTAAAAAAAAAAACGTCTCGCTGCGAGGCGACAGTAACCACAAGAACTGGATAGCTTATATTTTGAATTTGCTTGCTGCTCTGTTGATGGTGATGATCCAGGTCACAGGGCTGTGAAGTATTAAGGTTGACAGCTGCCCGAGCTTTGAAAAAATTGTTTTCCGGAGGACAATCAGAGGGGTGGAGAGGTGAGGTGGGATTTGATGGGATAAGAACGGTGTAAAGGTGTAAGGGACAGGGAGCGGAACCAGTCTACAGCCGTTTGGATAAAGCTGTTAGGAGTGAAATAGAACAACATGGGGGTTGATGAGTCAGCGGTGTAGCTGCGATACAAACAGACAAAGGCTCAGGTATACCTGATGTCTGCCTTGATTATCTTGATGTCTTCTCTGTATGTTCGGAAACTGAATACAGGGGTAAGGAACAGCAGTTGCATATTTTGCATACACGACAGTGCTGTAGGAAGAAATATGTGCATTTTTAACAGTGCAATGGTAACCACAGTAAAAGTGCAGGTGAACACGAGCCAGCCTTTGAGGCAAGCGCTCACACGTGAATATGCAAGTAAAAGGTGCACTCATCCAAAGCTTACAGGAAAAGCGCCAAGCTTTGAAGCAAATTAGTGGAAAAAATTGAGGTATCACTACTACAGGATCGGCCACGTAATGCTATCAGGCCCCGAAATATATTTCTTTCCATTAGACTTACGTTGGGAAAATGACATCTTTCACATCAATGGCGTGACTGAGTAAACAGAGCACACGATGATCGGATTACAGACAGAGAGAAGGACCGACTTCATTGCCTGCTCAGGTTGCCATGACTCCACTATTGTTTTACATCTTTATTTTTGCATGAACGCTTTGAATATGGTACAGAGAACCTTCAGGAAATTTGAGGAATTCTGTTTGTTAAGTCAAAGAAAAGGGGCTACAGTGATCACACATGAAATAACCAACTAACCAAGGATTATAATGAGCAAATGTGAGGACATAATAAGACTTTCATCATAAGACTTTGGAGGGGCATTAGATGCTTAATAAATAAGGTGATATTTGTTAAAATGTTGGCCTAGTATGTGTATAGAATAAGAATAGAATACGTTATAAATCCCTAAAAATTGTTTATGTAATCACATACAGTATGTTTCATCTTTCGTGTCACATTTGTGGAGCAGAGACACGGGGTCTCGCTTTTAGATTGCATCTTTGGCTTGATTGTAAGATGGCTTCTAAAAACACCCTATGCATTATTTATAAAATGAACTTCAGTCATTAGAAGCTGCCCACCTGCATGTGCTTACAACAACCCAACCTCAATTCAGTCACATAACTAGAGCTGCTTTGCAGGAAGCATTCACCAACATACAGTTATACAGATAATGCGGAACTGCAAGTACATTTTTTTCCTTCAAAAAGTTTGACTCAACCTGCTTTAAATTCTCAGCTTTGCTCCATTTTCTTCCTCTGCAGGGTGGTTCTTTAAACTTTAAGCTCATATCCTGTTTGTCTCCTCACATAAGCACAAGGCCCTATACATGCACACACACATACACACACTTGTTAAGTTGTTACTTCTTTCCCGTAAATGATCCGTTTGTGGACAGCGTACTATAAATAAACTTGACCTGACTTGGCTGGCTGATCTCATTTTGGGTCAATTCACTTTAAGAGGGGGTGCTGCACACCTTGTAATGGCTCATTTCACACTCCCAAAATTGGTGTGTGCCGTCACTAGAGGCATAGCAAACCACCACTGGGTCCTCTCCAAAAAAGCGCTGGGATCCAGGGGAGAGGCCAGTCAGTGAGCTGATGGAAACAGCACATTTGAGTTTCCGCCTCACCTGGGATTGTCCAGATGGCGGATGGACCTAGTCTCTTTTTCCCTCTTTCTTTGACACACACATGTACTGTACGCCACCCCACACAGCCGCTAATACACACCCACCTTTCAGAGTTTCAAGTAACCGCCACCTGCTCCTGGCTGAGACCATTGTTCACTGGTCCACCTAATGTAGGCTGACACACGTTGCCAAGCGGAGGGCCGAGCACTTTGGCTTGGATGGAACGAGGCGGGGCGTGACGTAAATCACCCGAGCTTTTAGGTGGAAATTTGTGTCCGTACGCGTGTTAAATCAAAATGACCTAATTCTGTCCAGAGCCATCCACAAAATAAACGGGTTAAAGGCAAATAAATAACAATTCAACAAGTTAATTAGTTTGTCCGACGCATTTGTTTGTGAAACGTGATGAAATTCAGTATGGAGACGCAACCGACTGCTAAGAAAAAAACAGATTTTAATTTGATACATTACGATCACACTTTTCTTTGATGCAGAACATCTCTTAATAACCTTCGGTTACGAGGTTTTTGGGGTGACATCTTTAAGCGTGTAATGGCTGTTCGAGGGTTTGGAGTGCTCTATTTTCTTTAACACTCTCCTGCCACCCATCTTTCATTTTCCTGTTGCCTGCTTCCTGCAAGCAGAAAAGTATCCCCCGCTAGCATGAAACCACCGAGCGATATCAAAACAGGGCTATTTAATAAAACAGCATGGAGCTCATCACCTTATGTCTGGTAAACCTCATTTTAGCTAAGTTTCTTCGTGCAGTTGGGCACCGAATGCATGTGAAGACACACGCCGCGTAAGTCAGTATGCGTGTCAAAGATGGAAAATGACATATATTCAGTCGGGACGGAGCAGGAAAATGGGAAAAAAAAGCCCATTGGTGAGCTGTGCTGCTGCACAGGTGGCAAAGGAAGGAAATGAGATGAGGCCAATACACCGCACCGGTAGCTGAAAAAGGCTTCACAGCCCAGTAGCTGCTGCCCACAATGGATGTATGACTTCGCGACGACACAGGCAGCCTCTCTTGCAGACAACTGGGTTTTCCTCTCCCCGCAGTCTGCAGTGTAAATGACCTTTGCTTGAGATTCTGGCATCCATGAAGTGCCAAAGAGACTAGAGCCATTGCAGGCTGCCACACCACAAGGGGAGACTGTCTGCCAACCACAGCCTGATCCAAATCTCTGTAGCGGTGTTGAGATTAGAGTGGCACACCGATTGTTTCAGTTCCACTCACTCGGAAAGGGTTCCTAGACCAAACCGTGAATACAAAGGAACTTTCCTCTTGTTAATGAGGATTGCAGCATTCCACATCCATTCAGAGGCGTTAAAGAGCGCACAGAAGCACCTCCTTGATTACTTTCGTTGACACAAACTGTATCTCTCACTGAATCTTACGCCCGTACTGCTAGCGTATATGTTTTTGTGAGTGTCACTCTTTGATTTTGTAGCAGATACCAGGCATCGAGGCAGAAAATAAAGCATGTGTTGCTTGTGTTGCTTGGTAACTAAGGTCAGGTTCACATCGGGGCGTATTCACAAACAGAACATCTTCTGTTAGGGGATCCAAAGCTGTGTGCTATTTGGCAGTGGGCTTTAAAAGACCATACTGGCGGTTTTGTATTTTCTAGCCCATTAAATAGGAATTGTGGAGACTTTACCTTTTGCTGTCTTCTGTGTTAACTCAGCTTGTTTCTCCTTCCTGACTGGGACAAGAAAATAAAAGCAGCCTTGTTTGGTGTTTGTCGTAATGATCTAGGTGTGTAACGAGAATCACTGCACCAGCATGACAGGCCATTCGGGACACACAACTTATTTGCTCACAGCATCATTATCATACATGCAGTACACAACTACACTGTCGCACCCACACTCCTGTACCTTCAAACCTACACGCTACTCTGTAATCGCACATATAGTCAGTTCTGTGGTTGAGAGAAGTGAGTCAGACAGAGCAATATCTTCTGAGGAGGATGAAAGATGATGAAATGATATATGCAAATGTATGACACATATTTTAAAATCTTTTTAGTGCATTTATTGACAGCCACAAACATAATTCTGTTGGACACATTCCTCCAATGAAAAATGATCACTAGGAGCAAAATAGTGAAAATTTCCATCAGCATGTCTTATACATGCTAACTTTCAGAACATAGCACATGCAC